TTTCCTCTGTCATCCAGGCTGGAGTGTAGTGGCACAATCATGACTCACTGCAGCCTCAAACTCCTGGGCTTAAGTGATCCTCCTGCCTCAGCCTCCCAAGTAGCTAGGACTACACGCATGAGCCACGGCACCTGGCAATTTCTTTTTCTTATAGATGGGGTCTTACTATGTTGCCCAGGCTGGCCTTGAACTCCTGGGCTCAGGAAATCCTCCCACCTTGGCCTCTCAAAGCACTGGGATGACAGGTTTGAGCCGCTGCATCTAAACCAGCATTTCAAGAACAATGAATAACTCCTGTTAAAAAGATGCGAGGTTTCTTGCTTGGCCGTGCCCAGGGTGTCCTGGAGTCTAATCTCAAGCCCAAACGCACTCTAGTCTTCCTCACATCCACCACGGTGCTCATCTCACAACCTGGGAGTTCTCCTGGACACCTCCCCCTCCCTCGCCCTATGTCTAATGCACCGTTCCATCCATCCGCTGCCGCTCCCAAACACCACCTGGATCCACACACACTTCTTCCCCACTGCCTCCACTCCAACTCACCACCAGCAGGCCCCTAGCCCAGCACCATAGCACCCCCTGTTATCTTCCTGCATTTATTTTTGCTAACCATTGCCTATCACCCCCACCTACCCAGACACGGAGCAGCCACAGGGATCCCTTAAAAACAAAAACAACAACAAAAAAATAAGCCGGGCGCGGTGGCTCAAGCCTGTAATCCCAGCACTTTGGGAGGCCGAGGCGGGTGGATCACGAGGTCAAGAGATCGAGACCATCCTGGTCAACATGGTGAAACCCCGTCTCTACCAAAAATACAAAAAATTAGCTGGGCATGGTGGCGCGTGCCTGTAATCCCAGCAACTCAGGAGGCTGGGGCAGGAGAATTGCCTGAACCCGGGAGGCGGAGGTTGCAGTGAGCCGAGATCGCGCCATTGCACTCCAGCCTGGGTAACAAGAGCGAAACTCTGTCTCATAAATCAATCAATCAATCAATCAATCAATCAATCAGACGATGTAACTCCCCTGCTTGAAGCCATTTCGTGACTTCCCATTGCTCTCAGGATACTGTTCACAGACCTGAGCACTGGTTTACAAGATGCTGCATGATCACCCTGCTGCCCCTCATCCCTGCCTCCTTGCCCCTCACCCCTGCCTCCCTGCCCCTCACCCCTGCCTCCTTGCCCCTCACCTCTGCCTCCCCTTCAGTCCAGCCTTGCTCCTCACCTTACCTTCCCTTCCCCAGCCAATACGGGCTTCTCTTGCTGTGTGTCTTGAGTCCTCTCCACATCCTCATTCCCTAGGACATCCTTGCCCCCGCCCTTGGTTTTTCCAGTTTCTACTCGCCATCCTCCTAGGCTCTGCCTACATGTTACTTCCCAAAAGAGGCTTTCTCTCACTGCTCCCACTTCTATTTCCACCAGCCACGTGCACCAGATCCCCTGTTTTCTCTCCTGGAAACTTTCAACTTTGCTTTACATCACTGACCACAGTTTGGAATCACATATACCCATGATTTTTTCATATCTATTTCTTTTTTTCTTTCTTTTTTTTTTTTTTTTTTTTTTTGAGACAGATTCTAGCTCTGTCGCCAGACTGGAGTGCAGTGGCAAAAGCTTGGCTCACTACAACCTCTGCCTCCCGGGTTCAAGCAGTTCTCCTGCCTCAGCCTCCCGAGAAGCTGGGACCACAGGCGCGTGCCAGCATGCCCAGCTAATTTTTGTATTTTTAGTAGAGGCGGGGCTTCACCATGTTGGCCAGGATGGTCTCAATCTCTTGACCTCGTGATCCACCCGCCTCGGCCTCCCAAAGTGCTGGAATTACAGGTGTGAACCATGCACCCAGCCCATATCTATTTCTTTATATCTGTCTCTCTCCCTAGACCTACACTGTTCCACTAGCCACCCTATTAAGCACTGGAAACATGGCAGGTCTGAATTGAGATGTGCTGTAAGCAGAATATACATACCAGTTTTGAAGATTTGGTATGAAAAAAATGTAAACAGTCTCATTACTTTTTATAGTGACTACCTGTTGAAGTGACAATATGTTGAATGTATGAGGTGAAAATAAAGTATATAATTAAAATTAATTTCACCTGTTTCTAACTTTGTTTTAGTGGGGCTACTAGAAAACTCAGAATCCCCAATGTGTCACCCATGATACCGCTGCTGGACAGCACTGCCCTAGACTTTATTATTATTATTTTTTGATATATATTTGATTGTGTTTTAGGTTTTGGGGTACATGTGAAGAACATGCAAGATTGTTGCATAGGTACATACATGGCAATGTGGTTTGCTGCCTTCCTCCCCATCACCTATATCTGGCATTTCTCCCCATGCTATCCCTCCCCAACTCCCCACCCCGCACTTGTGCCCTAGACTTTAAGCTCCATGCAGGCAGCTCTCAGCTCATTGTGGTCACTGCTGCATCCCCAGAGCCTAGCAGCCTCTGCAGTATTGTAAGCTGACTTCAGCAAACTGCTAGATGAGGGAATAAATGAGTGAATGAGTCAGACAAGCAAAGGAAAACTTCTGGTTGAAAAAGCAGTCATAAGGCCGGGCGCGGTGGCTTACGCCTGTAATCCCAGCACTTTGGGAGGCCGAGGCGGGTGGATCATGAGGTCAAGAGATCGAGACCATCCTGGTCAACACAGTGAAACCCTGTCTCTACTAAAAATACAAAACATTAGCTGGGCATGGTGGTGCGTGCCTGTAATCCCAGCTACTCAGGAGGCTGAGGCAGGAGAATTGCCTGAACCCGGGAGGCGGAGGTTGCGGTGAGCCGAGATCGCGCCATTGCACTCCAGCCTGGGTAACAAGAGCGAAACTCCGTCTCAAAAAAAAAAAAAAAAAAAAAGAAAAAGCAGTCATAGGAACAGAGATACTGCAAGTCTGTAAGCTCACTGTTAATTTGTGTGAAGGAGAAATTTCTGATTGGGAACCATTCGGAACAAGCTACCGCCCTGTCCGGAAGCCAAGCAGGACGACGAGGTCATCTGTGGTTAAACCACAGAAAAGTCACAGATGACAGAAAAGCAAAGATAAACTGCTGGAGGGTGTTTGACCTCAAGTTGTCCTACTTTTCAAATCCCCAAAACCAGGAACACACTCGGCAACACATCAACGCAAAAATAAAATCCTGAAGATAACAAAAGGAATTTGACAAAAGGATTCTATTTAAGTTCAAAGATGGCCCTAGTGTTCATAAAACCATAATGAGCACCTATCAAGAATTTCTGGCGGGGATGCCCAATTGCACTTGGTGTGTGTTTTTCATCCTATTCCATGCGTGAATATTTAGCTCAGAGTTTCCCCAACATAGGTCCCACAGCACCCAAGCCTCACAAAGTCCTCTGTGAAAATAGAAAGGGAACTCCCTAGACCAGCACATCTGGGATATGCATCTCCCGTAGTGCATTTACACTATGCACCTCTCCCAGAGAGTCACGGCGCATGCTGGTCTACAAAGGCATCGAGAAGACCTTGCAAAGTGAAAACAGGGTGGCTTTGTTTAGCTCAGTTTATCTCAAACATGTTTGACCTCAGAATATCTGGTAACAGCATGAACAAGCGATGCTCCTGAGAAATGCATTTTAGGAAGTGTTCATCTAAGCTTCATATACAAAACCATAATTAGTGATAAGTTGTTCTGATCTGTGGGTAACGCAGATCAGATCCATGCGGGAAACCCAGCTCTGATAACCAGAGTTTTACCATTCAGTGGTAACACTGCCCTTTACTTTGGGTCACCTTCTTGGTGACTACTCCCTCCTTCCCAAAGGCGGGTCTCACTTCAAGTGCTGTCCCTTTAACCCACGTTCCCTCTGCCACCTCTGCTACAGGACAGTCAACAAGGCAGTTAGAAATTTGCCCAAGAACTGATGAAGAATTATGAAAAAAATCACAACATCTGCACAGCTTACAAAAAGTCAGCGCAGAGCTCACAGGATTAACCCTCCTCAGCACAGCCCTGAGGCTGGATACAGGAAACAGGGGCGCATCGGTCCAAAGGGATATTGTGAGCCAAGGTCTGGGATTAGGAGCCTTGGAAAAATTTCCCCAAAGGCTTGGAGCCTCTACTTGCAGAGGGAAGAGAGCTCATGTTGGCAGTGACTCGGGCCAGCAGACCCCTGAAATGTCTCTAATTTAATGTTCTCTCTATTGCCTTTTGGGCCCTATTAACCTGGTACTGACAATTCATTTTGGGCAGTGCAGTTATCCTTCTTGCTCAATGATATTTTCTGAGCCCTAGCAGCTACATTATCCACTAATCTAGAGTGAGGATTGGGATTCTAGAATGTATTTCCTACCAAGAACACCACCCTTGGGAGGGAGGAAGACAAGCCCAAACTCAGCCACCTGCCACCAGGAACAAGGGCCTAACGCCCAACTGCTGAACACACACTTCACTCAGGTGAGAGGCTGAACTCCCTGACTCAGCTTTTAAGGATCTACAGCCCTGCTCCACCTTAGTGATCTCATTTCCAGCCACAGGAAAGTTCTTCTCTAAATATCCACTTTTTGGATCCTCTGCATTAGGTTCAGGATATTCCTTCCTTCTTAACCCCTCCCTTCTCTGGCCTGGGGGAAATTGAACTCTCGTTTCAGGACCAACCAAATATCACTTCCTCCATGGCACCTTGACTCTTTCCCCAACAAAGTAGTTTACCAGGACTTTGTACTGCTTCTGTATTGCCTTGTTTATGTCTCTCTTAACAGCATGGATTGTAGGTAGTTGAATGTCCGTCAGTCTCCCCATCTAAACTGTGAGCTTCTCCATTGAGGGAGATGCAGTGGAGTCATCTCTGAACCCCAAGTGTTTAGAAAGAATTGGTGGATCAGCGATGAATGCACTCAGGTTGTGATTACTCTCAGTGAATTCAACTCTATGAATTAGATGAAACTGATCTACTGTGAATTCTCATATTCCCCTAAACATGCTTTTTCAAAATTCAAGATTCGAGCAACATTGTGATCACAAAGAGCTTTTGGACTCACACTGACATAGGTCCGAGTTCCAACTCCACCACCTCGAGCCGAGTGACTCCACCTGGAGCTGAGCTTCCCTGAGTCTTCTCCATCTGCAAAACAGGACCACGTCTCATTCACAGTTGTCAGGAAGTTTAAATAAGATGATGCACGCAATGCTCTCTGCACCAGTCTGAATGTTTTAGGTGGCCAATAAACACTGAATATTAATAATGATGATGGAAATAACCGTAAGGACACAGGAGTACAGACCTCTGAGAAGTTGACTAGCAGGTGTTAGTTTCATTCAAATATCAGCGCAGAATACCCAAGAGTCAACATCGAATGTACCGAGAAATGTACGTGCTCGGGGGCTGGTGCTCAGAGGCAGGACTCATTTATTTGTATATTTTAAAAATATTTGAGTACCTACTATGTGCCAGCCCTCTGGAGTAAAACAGAACATGAAAAGTCTCTGCCTTCGAGGCAAGTAAGTAGGGGTCCTGTCTCTGAATGAAGAAAGGACCCTTTATTGTATTGGGACGTGGCTGAGATGAGGAGCCATCTCTATTGAGGGAAACCACAGTCTTCTGCACCACGTATCCCACAGTGGCCACCAAGGGCCCTCCATGAGCATGGCTCTATTTAAATAGTGACTCTGCCCCTCGTTTCCCCTGAGCTCAGAGGGGTGATGTCCTCAAACAACCTCAACAGAGCAGAAGCTGGAGTTCATGCCTATTAAGCAAGATTCAATGGAACGATCATCTTTTCTGTATGTCAAAAATAGATTTTGATTTAAAGAAATTTTATATGGAGATGTTTAAAGTAAAAATGAACTTCACTACATGGTCATTCTCAGAAAATTCCAGGATATGTTAATGTGATACGATTTGTAACAGTACACCATTATTTTAAAACGTAAAACAGATTTCAGCTGTTTCTCAGTCACCTGGAAAGTTCATGCATATACACAACCTACAATTATGTGGTCAGAGGAATCTCCAAGCCTCTTCAAAGCTACCAACCAAACAGACACCCCTGAGATGGTCATGCCGTTTTATTTTTAAAAAATCATTTAAGCAAGAAGAAATCCCTGCATATGCAAGTCCCAAAGCCAACTATTTTCTCTGTCAGTACCAGGAACTGAATTGAGAAATCTGAATTGAGGATTGATGAATTCAGTGGCTTCTTAAGAAGTCACAGACTACTGACACATCAGCCCAATAGAATTTGCAAAACACTCTGATGTGGAACCCTGCAATTCCTGCCCTCTCCAAAAAGAAAGGGAAGCAAGGTTCTCTTTGCAGCTTCAGATCTCAAGTCTGAAGAGGACACATGTCCCTCTCTTCTCCACTTTCTCTGGGAGTCCCACACCCCAAATGCAAATCAACGGGGCTCAGAGTTGCCTTTAACATCACCAAAGGGCTTGTCTGCCTTGCCTCTGGTGCTGATCTCTGCCTGGGAGACCACAGCAGAACCCACGCCGACTGGAATGTTGGCCTTCTAACTAGAATGAGCCCTGGAGGTGGGTGGGATTTACCAGGGACAGGATGAGAGTGAGATACGTGAGGCACTTGCCTTGGGTGCAAAATTGAAGAGGCCACCATAAAACTCAATGATCCATATAAAGAATAGCGCAATGCAACATTTCAAAAATCAAGATTAGCACCCAAAATTTCATGATGAACCAAATATCAAAACTCTAAATAAAGACAGGGTCAATATTATTGACTTTGCCTCTAGTGCTTGCATTTCCTTCTGTCTAATCACAGGCTTTGGAGTCGTCTGGCCGTGAGCATGGGGCTCAGCTGCGAGCACCAGTTGGAGCCGTAGAGAGGCGAGTGGGCTCACTCACGGGTCAGCAATGTTGGCGCAAAACAACCTTTTGCTGAGTAATAGGGAAATGGATCTAAAACATATGGATTAAATGGCTCTGAAAATAAACAGGGTTTTAAAAGGAAAGGAAAGGAAAAGTACTTAGCCACTATGTTTGAGGTTTTCCTGAACCCAAACCTTTGGAAAACTAGCATAAGAGTGAATTACTCAGCGCCGGTAACACAATCAGCTTTGAAATAGGCTTGTCATAAACCACCAGTTTCTTCTAAAAAATATTTTTTTTGAGTCGGAGTTTCACTCTTTTTGGCCAGGCTGGACTGCAGTGGTGCAATCTCAGCTCACTGCAACCTCCACCTCCCTGGTTCAAGCGATTCTCCTGCCTCAGCCTCCCGAGTAGCTGGGATGACAGGCACGCGCCACCACGCCTGGCTAATTTTTATATTTTAGTAGAGATGGGGTTTCACCATTTTGGCTAGGTTGATCTCAAACTCCTGACCTCAAATGATCCACCCACCTCGGCCTCCCAAAGTGCTGGGATCACAGGTGTGAGCCAACATGACCTGCCTTAAAAAAATTTTTTTAATGGTTCACCCAAACTGGCTCCCTTATGCACTGCTTTTGGGGCTTATTCCTACTGTTCTTTACAAGAAGGAGCACAACTTTGCATACCCACAGGGGCCTTGGAGGCACTGGAGACCCAGGTCTCAGGAGGACTCCTGAGGAGAGCCTTTAGGGGGCTTGAGGAGACCAAGCTGGGAATGAGTCCCTCATGGTGTGCCAACAGTCCTCTAGAGAAGCCAAACAAATAATGCTTTGGATTAGGAGCCAGAGAGATGCCCAAGGGCACCAGCCTGTGCCACCTCTGTAACTGTGGGCACCAGTGTCTTTGTCTCTCACCTGCAGATACCACTGCCTGGTCTGGAAGCTGGAGAGAAGAAGGGTCCACACATGGTTAGAACCCAGGCAGGAGCCTTTGTGCACAAGTGGATGGCTCAGGCCCAGCACTGGCCAGCCCCCTAAGACAGTTCCATGGGATTTAAGAAACTAGCATCTGTGGCTACCAGTGCCAAGAGATCAGCACAGCCAAGGAGCCAACCTAAGTCTGGCTTTGAGGAAAAATCTAGGAAGTAGGAGAGAGAGAGGCTGAATCCCAAGGTTTGGGAGTCAGTCTTTGTTTTAGTATGTTCCAGTTGCTCTGGTGATGTGGGCAGATCCCCCCAGAGAGAGATGCTGCTGATCACCCACCAACACCCAGCCTTCCACAGCACTGCCCAGGGCAACAGGTTTTTGGTATGGCCGGCAAAAGGAGCCCCAGGCAACTGCAAATGCCCATCCTGGAGGGGAACCCAGCTGCCAGGCAGCCCCTTCCCTGTGCTAGAGTTCCTCATATACCTAGCAGGGTTCTTCCAGAGTTAAAAGTGTTGACAAAACTCTCTACATTGAACACGCCTTACTCTCATCATCTTAAATAATTCATATGATTATGTTTTGAGAGCTGGCTCCAGGCCCAGAAGGGGTTCTTCAGATCCCTTTCTAAAGACTGGGGCCACCCATCAGTGAGGGGCAGCCTCTTTTCGGGTGTTGTCCCACTCAGGGTGTCATTTTCTCCCTCAAGGTCAGCTTCGTAGGAGGCAGACAGAAGCCACAGCTAACAGCTGGAGGGCCCCTCGTCCTGCGCCTCCCCACAGAGCTCTTCCATGATCTGTGTCACCTGTCTTCTCTCTTCAAACCACGCCTTCAAAACATCTTGCGATCACATTTAGCTTTTCGACCTCAATGAAAAAGGATGCAAGATCCTGGATAGAATTTGCCAAATTTTAAAACCTGAAAATAAGATTATTTTTTCTTACCAGCTTTTATATAAGAAATATTGGGAGGTTTAACAAGATTAACTGACCAGGTTGTGAATAAGAAGCCTATATTTGCAGAAAGCTCACAGTTTTGTCTGTCCCTCCCATGCTCAGCTATAATTTGGAGTTTTCTGGACCAGCACCTATGATATATAGCCTTTCCCACTGATCGTCCAAGTACCCCATTTTTTTTAAGTTCTGTGGTACATGTGCAGATCATGCAGGACTGTTACATAGGTATACACATGCCTTAGTGGTTTGCTGCCTCCATCCCCCCATCACCTACATTAGGTATTTCTCCTAATGTTATCCCTCCCTAATCTCCCCACCCCCTGCTATCCCTCCTCTAGCCCCCTAACCCCAACAGACCCCAGTGTGTGATGTCCCTAACCCACTTATGAGTGAGAACATGCAGTGTTTGGTTTTCTGTTCTTACGTCAGTTTTCTAAGAATGATGGTTTCCAGCTTTATCCATGTCCCTGCAAAGGATAGGAACTCATCATTTTTTATGGCTGTGTAATATTCCATGGTGTATAAGTGCCACATTTTCTTTATCCAATCTATCATTGATGGGCATTTGGGTTGGTTCTAAGTCTTTGCTATTGTAAACAGTGCTGCAATGAACATACATGTGCATGTGTTTTTATAATAGATCGATTTATAATGCTTTGGATATACACCCAGTAATGGCATTGCTGGGTAAAATGGAATTTCTATTTCTAGATCCTTAAGGAATTGCCACACTGTCTTCCACAATGGTTGAACTAATTTACACTCCCACCAACAGTGTAAAAGTGTTCCTATTTCTCCACATCCTCTCCAGCATCTGTTGTCTCCAGATTTTTTAAATGATCGCCATTCTAACTGGCGTGAGATGGTATCTCAATGTGGTTTTGATTTGCATTTTTCTAATGGCCAGTGATGATGAGCATTTTTTCATATGTTTGTTGGCCTCATAAATGTCTTCTTTTGAAAAGTATCTGTCCATATCTTTCGCCCACTTTTTGATGGCATGTACCCCGTCTTTGTTGGATTATCATGCACGCGATAATTCCAGATTTCCATTTTTAATTTTAATTCTGTTTTTGAATTTTCACTGCAAATTGTTGATGGACAAGCACACACACACACACACACACACACACACAAACACACACACACAGAGCAAGACATCCAGAAGATTAAAAAGACACAGCAGGCTGGTGCAGTGGCTCACTCCTGTAATCCCAGCACTTTGGGAGGCAGAGGTGGGCAAATCACTTGAGCTCAGGAGTTCAAGACCAGCCTGGGCAACAAGACAAAATCTCACTTCTACAAAAAATGCTAAAATTAGTCCAAAATTAGCTAAAATTAGTCCCAGCTGCTTGGGGGACTTGAGGATCACCTGAGCCTAGGAGGTTGAAGCTACAGTGAACCGTGTTCACGCCACTGAACTCCAGCCTGGGTGACAAAAGTGACACCTTGTCACAAAAACTAAACAAAACACACAAAAACACACAGCAACACAAACCACAATAAAACTAAGCTAACACTATTGATATGACTGCCAAAAGCAAAATAAACTGACCCAGAACCGAGGTTTTTCAGACTGCTCCTTGGAATCCACAGAGCTCTGTGGAACTTCTTGAGGGAGCTCAAGAAAAAAATCAGCTCCCATCCCAACCACAGCCACTTCTTATCTAGTTTTTAAATTGGATTTACTAAAATTGTATTGGAAAAAAAGCATTTTGTGGTCCAAGTAATTTTTACATTACTAGTCTAGAAGACTAAAGGTCTCCTAAAGGAAAGAAGCCTAACAGAAGCACCCTCTCTTGTGCCCAGTGTATCCCAAAGTCTGGACAGGTAAGCTCATGTACATGATATAGGTAAGGGAGCTTATATACCTGACAGGTAAGAGAGCTTATATACCTGGACAGGTAAGGGAGCTTATGCACCTGAGGCAGGTGAGAAACTTCATGCAGAGGTTGCAGGAAGTAAGGGGGTTAGGGCCTTCTGAGCTTCTGACTCTCCTCATATGCCCTCAGTGAAGCTTCCTCGGATGTCCTCTGGCTGAATTAATGATCTTCGTTTCTCCAGCAGGTCCCTTGCCCTTCACTCCTCCCAACTAATCTGTCCTAGTCCCCCTCATTCTGTATGACAACTTCTGACTTGGATGTCTGTCCCCTCACCAGGCTCCTAGCTCTTTGAGAGCAGGGACCATGTATTCAACTCCTTCTCAGTGACTCAGTGACTCATTCAGGGCCAGCCTCATAGAAGATGGTCAAAAAGTTGCACACAACTTAGTTTCTGCTTCCAAGTATGGTGGGGGTGACAGAACGCAATTGTGCTACCCAGAATGCACTGGGGATGACCAGTTCATCCTCCCAGGAGTGCCACAGGGAAGGAGTTGAGGAAGATAATTGAGCCTTAAATTTTATTTTCAGGTTCAAAAAGGAAGAAGTTGTGATCTTTGGAGTCTAAAAAAGTTGTTTAAATGTAAACATGCATTCTCAGTGTCTGGAACCAGAGTTAGATGAAATTCCCCAAGTGATCTCTTAATACCACCAAAATTACATTCAAATGCCTCTGCCAGGCGAAGATAAACTGCCATTTGCACAACGATCTTGCACTTAAAAGTAGCTTGGTCCAGAGAGCTTTGGAAAATTTATTATGACAGGGAAAAGTGGAAACTTAAAGGGGGCCAAGACATTTAGTCTGCTGATAAGATGGCTTAGGAGCGACAATAATTATCTCCAAGAATTTGAAGGGTCATTAGAAGGTCATCAGGAAGGTGCAGACCAGCTGGGCTTCCTCTACTCGGACAACAGAAACTGACTTAAATCATATCAAGAAGAATTAGAATCAGAATCACATACAGTCATGAACGTCATCATGACATGGACCCCCGCGACTTGAAGGGAGCTCTGTGCACCAGCAGCATCACCTGGGGGAGTGTTGGAAATGTGGACTCTCAGGCCCCGACTCAGATCTGCCAAATCAGAAAGCACACTTTAACAGGCGCCCCTGTGATTTGTTGGCATAGTTTAAGTCCGAGAAGCTCTGGTCCAACCTAACTCCTAAACAGAAGACTAGATACGCCAGAGAACCTGTCCAGGCTTTAGCAGATAGTCCAGGCAAGGAGCAGTGTCACCGTGACCAGCACCCGTAAAGCAGTCCCCAAGGAAAACCCCAGTGAGTCCCACCTTTCCTGACTGGCAGAGCCACAGATAAGGGTGCCTGTGCTCCAGGCGCTGCACATTCCTCGCCCCAAAGGCTGGGTGCGTACCTTACAGCTATAAAGACTCCAGTGAACAGCATGAACTCCTCACCCCACAGAGGGCCAAAGAGTGAAGCAGGCTCCTGGGGAAACCTGTGACCCTCCCCGTTCTGTGTGATGTCTAGAAACAGGCGAGACAGCAATGGGGCATGGACGCCTTCCATGCCAGAACTGCTATCTAGATGTGCCTTCTCCATAACAGAAGACGTCTAACGGTGCAGCTCTCCTACTTACAGGAGAGAAAGAAATTCACAAGGCTTTCAAAGACCTGGTCTTCAAAGGTTTTCAAAGTCTGGGCAAAGGACTTTAAATTCAAGTTGTATCTAAACCCCTGATATGACTGCCCTTCCAAAAGATGCAAAGATTTCCCAATGCAAGGAGCCGGGCTGCCCAGCTCCTTGCTCTGAGTGGGCACCTATGCCAGGAAGGCCTGCCTGCCTGTGTCCCCCAGGGTTCACGCACCTACAGAGGTGGAGAAGGAAGGATGGATTTGGATTCCTGGAGCCAAGCTGAGCCTAGGGACGGGCCCTGAAAGATAACAGGGGCAGAGAGGCGTAGCAGCGCCCCTTGCTCTGTGGGCATGTGTGTTTCCTGACACCAACGGAACTAAGCAGACAGTAAATGTATATTTGATGACATTTCTCTGCAAGCAGCCTCCCTTCTGACGAACCAAGCTTGAACAAAGCCTAGTGCCAGGGCACACAGAGGAAAAAGAAGGACTGCGGGGCCTGCCAGAAAGGGTAAGATGGCCCCTGAAGAGAGTGGCAAAAGCAGAGATGCAGATATTAATAAAAGTCACCATGATAGCCACCATCCTACTCAAATTAGTGAAGTTTCCACACACCAGCCTTTAGAGAAAGGAGGTTTAGGCCCAGCTGAATAGCTTGCAAAGTAGCAGAAAGGAACCCAGGACTGAGAAGTCTCCCCCAGTACCCACTGCCGCTTCCAGCCTCCTCCCAACCCAACCCAGTTACAAGAGAGTAAGAAAGTGATCTTTTTCTATTCACTGTTCAAAGGAAACTGAAACTGCCTCCAGATAATGGTAGAAACCAAGCAGTGAGAGGTAGCTGATGCTTTACCCTGATAAGATCCAACAACTGGGTATGTGCCATCACGTGGAAAGAGACGTGTCGTCCAGACTTTTCAAAGACACGCAATCTTGTGGATGCAGCTCACAAACATGACTTTGTTCCCATTTAGGAACCCAACCTACATGTTTGCATTTCTCTTTTGAGCTATAACTGCAAACACAAATTGCATTTAATCCATCAAATCGGGATGCTCTGTGAGTACAACGGAAGATACTAAAAAGAGGTAACTTAAGTGGCAGGCTTCAAAGGAGGCTGATGCGAGTAATCGAGTTCACCCTTTTCAACCTGCTGGCCTTCCCCACTGAATGCCACTCTAGCCATTGGATGTGTCTGTCCCGAGGACTGAGACACTGCTGCAACAGAATAGCACGGGGCTGATGGAATGCTCATTTCTATCACTTCACATGACTGCTCCTCCCCTCACTGGTCCTTCACTCCAAGAGTGTTCTGTAGTTCAATTGTTTTCTCACCAGAAAGCCAAGTGTATGCTGGAAACTGGAATCTGCATGGGAGTGGAATCTGCACAGAAGATAGCCAGGAATTCAAGGTCATCTGAGGGCCCATGTCCTCCTGCTCCGTTCATGTCACCGGTGGTTGAAAGTCACAGAAGGACTCTGAGCGTCTGTACACTGTATTCTTCAGCTCCAATCCTTTTAGGTGGAAGAAGCTAAGATTCCTTCTAATCTGTTAAGAGCACAAGGAGGGGAAGAATAAAAATCTAAGAGCACAAGAATGTAAAACTGACAAGGATAAAAGCACTCACATGCACACACACTGCACACACGCACACACGCGCACACACGCGCACACACACATGCACACATGCACACACACACGCACACACATGCACACACACACACTTTTCTGAGAAAAAAATCAAACTGGAAGATTGGATATTATACAATTCCATTATCCAAACTGCTGTGGTGTGTCATGTATTGGTGATGTCTACCATGCAGAACCCCAAAATGCAGAGCTGGAGGGGACCCTCCGGTCTAGCTGGGATCAAATAAATGCCTACTTCTCTGGACAGAGCAATTGTCTTAGTCAGAATCTCACACCTAAGCAAGGCAAGGCTCAACCATGAAGTGAGGTGCTTCTGCTTGGCAATGGCCACTTAGTGATCCCCTGGGCCAAGTCTCACTCCATAAAGCTAACCCCCACTTCATCCTGCAGTGATCCAGAAACCAGGCCTTGGAGGTCACTCCCCATCAACACCCAAGAGTACTTCACTCCCACAAAGACAAAAGACCCTTAGACGATCTTGCATGCTTGTGAGAGAACAATCAGGAAGAATTAATCACCTGAACCAGAAAACTGTGATAATATTTTGAAAATGACTTACTTTTCTCTTTCCTCCAAGTGGTATAGGTAGGGGGAAACAGCTGACTGATTTTTATCACATAAAATTTCTTCCATTTATCTTTAAATCATAAATTTTTTGCATTGTGATAGACTCCGGCACTTTCGTCAATTCCATCAAGTTCTTGGATGCAAAAATAAAGTGAAGATGGCGTCCCTATCAAACAGTTTCTAGGTTAAGAGAGAGGGCAAAGGATGGTGAACATAGTTCAAAAGAAATGCACACCTGTCTTTAAAATATACCTGTAATTGCTACCATTTTAAAAGATTTCTCTGTGCTCAGCACTGGATTAAATGCTTTACATTGCACCAATTACACCAATTCTCACTGCAGCCCTGCAAGATGGGATTGCATTATTCCCGGTTTACAGATGAGCAAACAGGCACAAAACATTTGAGCAATTTTCCCAAAGTCACAGATGCTACCTCAAGAAAAATTTTATAAAGAGGTGTTTAATTGTTTTTACTCTTCATGGGCCTTTACCAGTTACAAAGAGAAAGCAGACCTGGGTTTCTTACAGTTTTAAAATAAAGGAACATATACAGTTCTGTATGGGTGGAAATGACTAAAAAGAGCCCCCATCCAGTGTATTTCTTGCCAGAGGAGGGAGATCTTTAATTTGGTGCACAGATTAAACCCCACAGGTTTTCCACCCTGTTTCAAGTAACCAACTTGAAAAGTCATCTGCTGGGCTAAAGAGGAGCCTTTGGAAATTGCTTCAAGAATGTCATGCGCTTTGAACAAAACTATTAGGACTGGAAGACAGCATAGTTGCTTTTGCAAACGCATCCGACCGCATTCTCTATAAACTTGTTCTATTTGATTTCTTCTCCATTCTGTCGTTAATTGTGAAATTAACGTATCCTCCCAATACCATATTTACTACATAATTTAATGGAACACATGAACCTACACAAAAACGGTTTGAGCTGGATCCCCAATTATATCTGGCGTAATTGCATCTGGCATTATCTCACTGCCTGGGTCGGATTCTCAGGGGCCGCACTTTCCCAACAGCTCTGAGGGGTCTCCGTGGTGTCACAGAAAAGCCAGAGAAGCACAGAGTGCCCCCGGGAGGTCCTGTAGAAAGCCAGCTGCTGGCTCAGCTAGGACCTGGTTAAAAACCACAGACTCCCGAGGGCTGGGCTGCCCCCTGAGTGGTAATACCGAGGGCCTCCGCGGACTCTCATTCCCTTTCCTCTTTCCCAGCGCCCCAGCGCCCTGGGTCTGGGAAGAAAGCGCACAACTTCCCAGGAGACCCAGGGCCACAGACCCCGAGTGGAGGAAGTGGCTGGGAGCTGTCCATGGTGGCGTCGCGCCTGGGCACGCAGAGCCGCCGGCTCCCCGCCCTCCGGCGCGCCCTAGATCACTTTCCAGACCACAGGGATGGAGAGACCCGCTCCGGGGCTTGCAGTCTCTGGGATGGGGCTGCAGCCAGTCAGTGGCTCACACATCAAAAGCTTAGTTTTTAAAGGGAGCTCTCACCTGTGGGTAGCGTTGACTCCTTGGAGAAGAGCTCGAGACCTCAAACCCGGCAGCTGGCGGAGCTCCTGGGACTGCCGTAGCGCCCGACCCTTGGGGAACGGCGGCGGTCGCGGAGAGTGAGTCTGCGGCTGAGGACCCAGTGCGCACCGCGCTCCTCTGTCTTGAGCACAGGCATCCCGCGGGGTCCATTCCAGGGCATCACTGGCCCTCGTCCCCAGAGCGGCGAGCTGGAGACCTGGCCAGCGCTCTGCCAGGACGCTGCCTTTCCTCTCAACCTAACGCGACCTTTCTTGGAGCAGACGTCCTTTGCCAGGGACCACCAAACCTCCTTCCAGCGATGTCACATTTGGAATCTCAGTCTAAACATCAGCAGAGGCCCCCAGGGTCATCTGACATTGCAATTGCCTCCGCTCGGCCCCGCGCCAGCGCGTCGCCGGGTGCCTAGCGCTGTCCCGGAGGCACGGGAAGGCGAGGGAAACCGGGAGGAAGAGCGTGCGGAGGCTGGAGCAGCAGGGCGCAGACCTGTTGCTAGGCGCACGCCCGCTAGCGCTCAGTGCGAGCTGGTTCCCTGGCAGCAGGACCCCAAGACCTGACCCTTGGGGTACTCCCTACTTGGCGAAACACTCTCCCGGGCGCAACCCACCGGTGCCATTCAGAAGGGGAAAAACCTACGGAAAGCAGGAGTCTGCCCTCTGGATGCCCTCTGGGGACTCCAGTGCCCCCCGGCACCTGCAGCTTGCAAAGCATCACAGGATCTCAGAGAAATCCCACAGAGGGCAGTGCCAGGGGCGCGTGCCCATCAACAGACTCATGGACACACAGACAGACAGAGGAGGACCACACAGCACAGGGTGGACAAACAGAAACTGAGGCGGGTAACGTTTACCCTATGCCGGGTGGAGGCGCGGGCCCCGCTTCCTACCTCCCTTGCGTGGCATGGACTGTCAGCTCCTCCGTACGCCCCCAGGCAGGCCCTCTTACCTCTGGGTAGGTGGCCGAGACAGTGCCACACCTCGCGGGCCAGGAGCGCAGCGGCTCCAGGTGTCTGTCGCTGACCGCGGGGCGCCGCGAGCTCCCAGGGCGTGGGCAAGCCGAGTGGGAAATTGGGGTTCCGACCCCGGCAGTGCTCAACCCCTCTGGTTCCCCGCGCCGCCTGCGCTCGCCGGGCTCTGAGCAATCGCACCGCGCTGGGCTCCGTTGCGCGCCAGCTCCCCGGCAGTCCGCCGAGCGGCCGCTTTTATAGCCACTTTTCCTGACTCCTCCCCCGCGGAGCCCCTGACGCCCGCGCGGCCCCGAAGCTCCCTCCCTCGCCCCCCGAGGAGCTTCGCTCCACGTGCCCCCGCCTTGCCCAAGTCGGGCGGGGGCCCTGCGCCCGGGCCGGACCGGGACGGGCCCTGGCGGCGGCTCTGGGAGACGCAGACCCGAGCCCGCGGCCGCCAGGTGAGGGCGCTGGAGGCCAGTTCTGGAGGAGCCGCCGCGGCGCCCGGGCAGCGCGTTCCCGGGACTCCCGGGGCAGGGGTGGCCCAGGCCCCGCTCGCGCCCCGGGCTTCCTCACAGGCGAAGACGCGGTGGAGGGCAGGAGAAAAGCCTGCGCCTGCCGCAGAGTCGCCACGAGTCGGGGTCCCAGGCCAGGTCTCAGAGTCTCAAACTCAGCAGCAGAAGAGTGGCCTTGGAAAGAGATTCTGGAAGGCGCCTAGCCTGCCCCCTGAGAGGAAGATGAGCGCGCATGCAGCGAGGGCGACCTTGGTCTGGCACTGGGTTCAGATGTGGCCGCTGCGACTGTGTACAGGATCCTAAACCCTCCTGGCATCAGTTTCCTCATCAGGAAAATGGGTTCTGTGATGCTTCCTCACCAGAATGGTGAGATTTAAAAGAGGTCGGGGAAGTCCAGGTTCTAAGCACATAATGGGTGCTGGTAAGTTAGAGACATTCCCTGTGGGTAGGAGGGCTCTGTGCCTCTTTAACTGCGCAGGCCAAAGTCCCGAAGGGTCCAAGCAAGAAGGTGCGGCTGGCCGGAGGAAACAGTAGCAGTGGGAAAAGTCCCGAAGGGCAGATGGAGTCTCCTCTGGACCCTGCCGCTAGACTGCTGTGTGACCAGGGCCAGCTGCTTTCCCTGTCTGAGTCTCAGGGTAGTTTTTTGTCTGTCTGTCTGTTTTGCAGGGAGGTGAGGAGTGTTTGTTTTTCTTGTTTTGTTTTCATCTTTAAATTGAGGGCGTTGATACCTGCTCTCTGCTTCTGCTTTTTAGAGTGTGACTCAGGCCTCTTTCCTGATTAGCAGAGGCCTCCTAGAATACACATTTCTTTCTTCCTTCCTGCCAGTGTTCTCTGAAAGCCAGCTCCTCAGGCAAGGTCTCCGTCCTGTGCAATACCTCTAGTTTTGGGAATCTAGATCTGGACTTGAAGGCTAGGCTGTGGTCGACAGAAGCTGTGGAAGTCTGTGACCATCTCTTCTGGGCCGAAGCAGGAGGCTTTGGTCACCTGGTTAAACCGGGGAAATCCAGCATTCCACCTCTAGGCCTTTTCCAGAAAGCTGAAGTTGATCCTTACTGGGGATGGCAGTCAGGACTCTCAGCCCTTCTTTGACTTATTGGGAAGTAACAAACTGGATCCAATGGCAAGCCCTCCTTCCCGGCCTTTTCTTTCCAGCAGAATAAAATGGAGCCTCCCCCCAGACCCCTCTTCCCAGTTCTCGCCGTGATTCCTGTTTATTTTTTTCTTCCTTAAGGAGCCCCCAGACACTAGACCCACAAACAGTTGTGTTAGGAGTATTGGGGGTGCTGGGCATTTGGCCCAAATGGAGAAAGGTCAGCCTGGAATCAGCCTGGCTTGGCACGACATGATGCAGGATTTTCCATCCACAGACAGTAGATTTGGGGCCTGAGTGGAGCCAGGCACCTTTCTGGTGGGGGTTTGGCTCCACAGGCATCTGGGAGATGAAGTGGTAAAGGCAGAGCCCTGTCTAGGGATGGGCTCTGAGAAGTGCTTAGTCATGTTTTCTCAAAGCACTGAAATGCCCAACACATTCCTCTGGTATCCAGTTTTCTTTATCACAGACCAATACCCAGGGGAAAAGAGCAATGCTGATGAATTACAAACAGGCTCCGCATGTCTAAAACCAGATTCTCCAGCCAGTTCTCCCTTCAGCACTGCCATTCAGCACTCAATGATGAACGGGGCGTGCCGGGTAATTCTTTATGGAGCAATATTAGCAAAATTACACTGGTGGATTTACTACCCACACTTCCCCAGTCCAAGGTCTTGCTCTTATAAATGCAGAGACAGGTAGGTGCTGGTCAAGAAAGGCTGTGTTGGTTTTCTGGTTCTTGCCGAAATCTCCCAGCAGAGAGTATCCAGAGAGAAGGGAAATGCCCATCAATGGTGTGACCTGCCACTTCCTCCATTCTTTTAATTTGCCTCCAGCCCACCTTTCTCAGGTGAGATGCAGCCCCCTCAGCTACATCCTTGTGCAGTAGAACGGCCCGCCTGCTCACTGCTGCCTCAAGCTGCCCAAGTCTGGCATCCTCCGTCTGCTGGCAGGATGCCACGACTGCTTCCTAAAGCAAGGGCCTTCACACGCCACCTGCTGATCAGAAAAGCCAGCCCCTGCCCCTAACGCAGCCTGCCTGCGAGCAGTTTGAAGGGTTGGCCACACCTGTGTGTCCACACACCAAGCCTCCAGACCCAGTTGTCCAGGAAAACCTGGAGTAGGTGGGTGGAGACAAGGAGAAAAGGCAAGCAGGTTGTAGTTAGGGTAATTTGTGAGTGGGCTGTGGGTCTCCAGCTTTCCAGCAGACCCGCAAAAAATTAAAACTGAATTGGGCATCTCCACCCTTGGAGAAGCAGCTCGTAAATAATGAGCATATTTAAGTTCCACCAACAGGGGTCGCTCTTGGACACTGGGCCTGAAGCTGGCATCAGAAAAGGGAAATTCCCAGGCCTGGGCCCTGAGGCCAGATTTCCAGCACAAAAAGAGGCAGCCCAGCTGAAGAGAGACAAGTCTTCAGTTCTGCTGGTGAGTGAAGGCCTGTGCTGGAATTTGTGACGGCAAGTCCCAGCCGTGAAAGTGGATTTCTACCTCTTCCTCTTCAAACTCACCATCACTCTAGAGAAAGAACTCTTCTTTCCTGTGTTTTATTTATGTCTAAAACATATGTAAACGGTGTGTGTATGATGTCTCCATATTATTTATTTCCTACTTGTCTAATTGCAAAAAGTCATACATGTTCTCTGTAAAAAGAAAGTCAACCAGCCTTGAAAAACTTACACAATAAACAAAGAGAAAAGAAATTATCTAACATCACACATAATGTATGTACCAAAAGCTTGAAAAATACAGAAAAACGAGAAAGAAAAAAGTCGCTTCTGCTCAAAGATCATTTCTTAATGATTTCTTAATTTCAGTATAGGGCCAAACATTTTTCCACATATAAGATGCATATATAGTTGCACAAATAGATAAATGCATGTAAGTGCTCCATAAATGTTAATACTTAGCTCAAAATTCTTCTCTTCCACCAGATTGCATGTTGAGAGGGAAGGGCTGTGTCTCTCAAGTTTACTCATCTGCCCTGTAGTGTCTCCTATAGCGTCCAACAGAAAGTCCACGTGTAGTCCACTGTCAATGAAGGAATACATGAGTGAGCATTTCTTTTTTTTTTTTTTTTTTTTTTTTTGAAACGGAGTCTTGCTCTGTCAGCCTGGTGACAGTGCTGTGGCATGATCTCGGCTCATGAATGAGCATTTCTTATAAAAATAACATACATGGCAGGGTAGAGTGGCTCATGCCTGTAATCCCACTTTGGGACACCAAGGCAGGTAGGTCACAAGGTCAGGACATTGAGAATATCCTGGCTAACACGATGAAACCCCGTCTCTACTAAAAATCAGCCCAGAGTGGTAGCACGTGCCTGTAGTCCCAGCTACTCAGGAGATTGAGGCAGGAGAATTGCTTGAACCTGGGAGGCAGAGGTTGCAGTGAGCCGAGATTGTGCCATTGCACTCCAGCAAGACTCCATCTCAAAAAAAAAAAATTAATAATAACATGCATGCAGTGGAAAAGGAGACCCAAGTTGTTTACAAACATTTGAAAAGATGCTCAACTTTGCACATACATGAAGAAACGCAAATTAATATTATGCTGAAATACCCGTCAGGCTGGCAAAACTCTGAAAGTTTGACACTACCTTTTTGGGAGGGAGGCCAGTAAGGGTGGAAAATAGACCTTTGCATTTGTCACTGATGAAACCTTACGTTGGTACAACCTGTGAGTGCAGTTTGACAAGATTTATGAAAATGTACATAATGTTTGACTCAGCAATTCCACTTCCAGGAATTTATCTTAAAGCTATACTGTGGGGAAGGAATAGCACCAGGTATACATTGTGGCCTTATTTTTAACATTAAAACAACAACAGCAACAACTAAGTGCCTAGTAGTAGGACTAATTAAATAATGTTGCATCTATATGATGGAGTCCTATGCAGCTGTTTAAAAAAGGATGTGTGTGTGTGTGTGTGTGTGTGTGTGTGTGTGTATATATATATATATTTTTTTTTTTTTGAGACAGAGTCTTGCTCTGTCGCCCAGGCTGGAGTGCAACGGCACCATCTTGGCTCACTGCAACCTCCGCCTCCTGGGTTCAAGCCTTCTCCTGCCTCAGCCTCCTGAGTAGCTGGGACTACAAGCACGCGCCACCATGCCCAGCTAATTTTTTGTAGTTTTAGTAGAGATGGGGTTTCACCATGTTGACCAGGATGGTCTTGATCTCTTGACCTCGTGATCCACCCGCCTCAGCCTCCCAAAGTGCTGGGATTATAGGCGTGAGCCACCGCGCCCGGCCAATATTTGTATTTTTAGTAGAGATGGGGTTTCACCATGTTGGCCAGGCTGGTCTCGAACTCTTGACCTCAAGTGATCTGCCCACCTCAGCCTCCCAAAGTACTGGGATTACAGGCATGAGCCACTGTGCCAGGCCAGGAATAGGGTAAATTCTATGTAATAAAATAAAAAATTAAAGTGTGTAGCAATATATATGGAATACATTTGCACACTACCATTTGTGCAAAGAGGAAGGGGAGGAAAAACACCCTGTATTAGCAATTATTTATGGATGCATAGGAAATTATCTAGAATGACATGCAAGAAACTAATAATATGGTTTCCTGTTTGGTAATTGATAGTTTTGGTAAGGGGTGGGCAGATGGAAGATGGGTGGGAGGTCAACTT